GTTTTATCGGTCATGTGCCGGGTATCAAGCGTGTTTAGTTTACTCTGATATCTTCCTCATGACATTCGAAGCAGCTATCACCCACGAAGCAATAATTTGGAGAAAGTAATTGGCGCTCTCTAAAGGCAGGTTAACTAACTCCATCTCAAGTTGGAGATGCGACACGTGTTTAGCAGCGAAGAACCGATTTGCTGGCTAGATCAAAGTCTTTATGTAGGAAGGCAGTTCCTCAGATTGCCAGTTCATATTCTAGGTAACACTAAGCACATTACGTCCTAAGTGACAAGTCATTGACAGCGGAAATGACTTCCAGTAAGGACTAGTAGACCACTCAGTTGCAAGTAAAACTTAAAAGTTTTGTTCAGTTCTCCCAGTTAAAACGCAAACTAGTCCCGCATTAGCAACTAATGAACACCAGTATGGCAGACAGTGTGAGATCAGCTTACCAGAATAGTGATATTTGCCATTTGAGATTTATTAGAGAACAAGTGCCACAAGCTTACAAGACGCAATGGCGTAGTCTGAGATCGTTGATGAGAGCGAAAAAGATATCAGAACACCGGACTTGTCTACTAATTTGCCGATATTGGGGGAACATGCCCTTTAACTTCGTGAATGTGAGGTTCAGCTTGTGCTGTACCAACCCTAACCACGTATCATCAAGGACCAAAGGCTTGGTGAAGTGCATCGCCAAAGCTATGTCGTGTACATGGCGGTAGCTCCACAAGCTGTACATGCCATAGTACTGTGCTGCATGCACTGGCCAAGGGATTTCGCGCTTCGAGAGAGCCCACTGTGGATACTCACTGGGATACCGAACGACAGGATTTACGTTCATTTTATAACCGTAGTTCAAAGTTTCTAGTTGCTCCGGTGTTTTATTGCGAACGAAGTTAACTAACTTGTCAGTATTTACGGCAAAGTCGTCGTCGAGAAAGACGAAGGTCGGTTTGTAGGGTCGACAAAATCTTGCCGCCCATTGGAATGAGTGGAAAAGTTTCAGCGTCAAGTTGTAGTAAGAATCTTCGTAGTCACCAACAAGTAGGTCATTGTAATTATGCATTTCTTGGATTAACTGTGTTTTTGCCCTTGCTGGCAAACGCGAATGCCCTAGCAGCTTTTGTCCGGCTTTACTTCGGAGGGTCACGTTAAAACCGTCTCGTTGAAACACATTGCCTAAAGAAGTTCGTGGTAATCCGATGGAGAAGATCAGGTGGATGCTGACATCAGTGTAGGATAGATGGTAGAGTTTGCGTATTTGATTTCTCTCCTTAAAGTTGTAGACCGCGGACTTGTATATAATTACCACATTAGGATGGGACGATTCAAAAGTGACACCATCTGTGGCCTGTGCGGCTGTTTGGGGAGGGCAGACACTGGAGGGAACTTTCAGGAATCGTATTTGTGGATTGAAAACGGGAGCCTAAAAATGGAATG